TCTAAAAAAAGTTATCATGCTATTTTAACAGACTTCACAATGGTTTTTACTGTAAATCTAATAATAAAAAAATAAGTTAAAAAAAGGAAAAATAGAAATAAGACTCAATTGTGTTCATATTTCTCAGCTGACCGAATTCCTAGGAAAATTAAACTAATGGTCAAACCAGTTTATGAATTTTTCATTCGAAATGTGACAGAGATTGCCAAAGAACCAAACATGTTAGATCAAATTATGTAGGCAATCATAATGTCAACTGCCAAAAGGTTAGTTTTATCTCTCACTGGTCGAAAAGATTCTCATCATAACTCAGGAGCCTCCTCTACACGTCTCGTTGGCAACAGCATCTCACCGGGACACGAACTTGATGAAATTGCTATTGTTCCAATAGAAAGAACCGAAGCTTGTGGTCGTATATCCTATGGAAGTTTATCTTTAAACGGCCCCCATTACTTACCCGGTGAGTTTTACTTACCTGACCGTAATTTCAAATAAAATATTTTGTTTTCGCAAACCACAATTATAAAATTAATTTGTCAATAATGTAGGAATACTTTACAAATTATTGAAATCTTTATTTTATGTTTGTTTCCAAAACAAAACCTACATTCACTTGTTTACTTATTCGAATACATATTTTCTTTCCGATGTTACACCATCATGCAGAAATCGTTAATTCCAAACTCGGAATGCCTAGATCACAAATTGGTCAGAGTATAAGCCAACAAGGTTTTTTCTCCTCGCGTGACAGCTTATCAGTACCTTGTGTGTCACAACCACTCCACTCATACTCAGCAACAGCATCGGACATCGATTTATCAAGAAAAACTGATGGAAAAAATAGTAGTAAATTAAAAGCTGCTGAACAGCCACTGTTAGGGTCGTGGAATCCTACAGCTGTTGTACCACGTGAATCTCAAGTGAATCCTACAGTTTCCTCCCTTTCAACAAATCACCTTACCAGCAACAACAGCAATGGTGCTAGTAATAATAACCCAGAAAGGTAAGAAATCTGCTTTATTATATTATCAGACATCTATTTTTTTCAATTTATTTAAATCTATTACCATAGAAATTTATTTATAGCTGTCAGTCAAGCTAACGCATTCTTTCAATTTAACTCTCTCACATGTATTTATTAAGACAAATTCGTCAATCAGTATGTGCAAGTACACCTCATCGTAAGCCGTCTTCAAAGTGGACATTTGTATTCGACCCAGCTGGACGGCTTTGTTACTATTGGTCTATGGTTGTATCACTTGCATTTTTATACAATTTTTGGGTCATCATATATCGTTTTGCATTTCAAGAAATCAATAGTGAAACACTCCTTGTGTGGTTTTGGTTTGACTACTTTACAGATTTTTTATACTTAATTGATATATTGTTCCACTTCCGGACAGGATACCTTGAAGACGGTGTCCTTCAAACTGACTCAACTAAATTAAGACAACATTATATGAATTCAACAACTTTCTACATCGATTGTCTGTGCTTATTGCCGTTAGATTTTTTATATTTGAGTATCGGTTTTAACTCGATTTTAAGATCATTTCGTCTCGTTAAGATCTATCGTTTTTGGGCATTCATGGATCGTACAGAACGTCACACAAATTACCCGAATCTTTTTAGATCAATCTCGCTAATACACTATCTATTAGTTATATTCCATTGGAATGGGTGTTTGTATCATATAATATATAAAAATAATGGTTTTGGATCGAAAAATTGGGTCTACAATGATTCTGAATCTTCTGATGTTGTCAAGCAATATCTCCAAAGCTATTATTGGTGTACATTAGCGCTAACAACAATTGGTGATCTACCACGACCACGATCTAAAGCCGAATATGTTTATGTAATATGTCAATTACTGTTTGGACTTATGCTATTCGCTACTGTTTTAGGACATGTAGCAAATATTGTCACATCTGTTAGTACAGCTAGAAAAGAATTTCAAGGTAATTAAACTGTTATTTTCATTTCATTTTTTTCTCTATTATCTATTTCTTGTTTTATTTAGCTAAGTTAGATGGTGTTAAAACATATATGAGGATGCGTCGTGTACCAAACCACCTACAAGTTAAAGTAATAAAATGGTTTGACTACCTTTGGCTCACACAGAAATGTTCTGATGAAGAGAGAGCAGTGTCTTGTCTTCCTGATAAACTCAAGGTATGCATTCAATACAAAAAACATATTTTCATTATTGGCTTAATTTTTCTTTGTTTTTGATCCAATTTAGGCTGAAATAGCTATAAACGTTCATTTAGACACACTCAAAAGAGTTGAGATTTTTCAAAATACGGAGGCAGGTTTCCTTTGTGAGCTTGTTTTGCGATTAAGACCAGTTCTGTTTTCACCTGGAGATTATATTTGTAGAAAAGGTAAAACAGTTATATTCGTATTTGCAGTCCTAATTCATGTGAAATTGTATTAGGTAATCAGTTAATTTTTTTTTTTTAAATTAAACTTGTTCAACAAATTTGTTTATCAAAATATGACTAACTATTTATAAAAACACAGGTGAAGTGGGAAAAGAAATGTATATTGTTAATCGAGGACGTCTTCAAGTTGTTGCCGATAATGGAAAAACTGTTATGGCTTCACTTAAAGCTGGCTCATATTTTGGCGAGATCAGTATATTAAATATGGGAACAGCAGGTAAAGCTCTTGGTAAATATCGCAGCCAAGCAAATCATCAACAAGAAAGCATCTCACAAGCTTTAGTTAATTTTTGTATGTATAAAAACAATCATGATGGTTATATTATACAATTCAATTATATTTTCTTCATTGTCTGTAGATTAAATTAGAAATTTTCAGATCCTTTTTCTAAAACTTCAATTTTTAAATCTTCATGAATATAAGTATAAATGTAACTTGTTTACTATCTGCTCAACTATCTTGATAAATAAAATCTTTTTTGTATTATCTTTATGTATGCGATAAATTTACATTGCAAATTGATTATGTTTTCATATCTAACTGATTTCATTTTATTCTTATCAATTTCTGAATTTCTGTCAATGTTGCATAAATAAATAATGATTATGATTATGCTTAAAAAATAAAGTATAAAAATAGTAGATTCAGATAAATAACATGACAGAAAAAATCTATTTCCTTTCTCCACATAGGTGCTTATACTTTCAAGAACATCTGATTAACTAATATTTTCAAATTTACATTACTAAATCATCTGCTTGGCTCGATATTTATCACTAAATTTAAGTATTTATTTAGTATCTGATTTTTTTAGTTATTTGAAAAATAACAATTTACTTTTGAAATAATTTTTTTTCTACTTAATTAACTTATTTAATAGAAGTTTTGATAAAAGCACTTTGCCATATTTTAATGCATTCAAGTTTTTTTTTAAATTAGATTCAGATAAAAAAAACTGTTTCACGACGTAAGCTTCGATTGTTATTACGTATCTCTTTTAAGTCTTAAATTTGAAATTGAATCTTTTTTCCTATACATATCCTTGCTAATGAGTGTTTGTTATTTTTACCAAACTAAAACATCGCATTTCCTTATGAATGTTTCTTGAAGCTTGATATTAAGAATTATTCGTTTTTGTGTTCCTCCAATGAATGATATGGATTAAGCTTCTTATGGAAACTTTATTTTAAACGAGATTTTCTTTTTAATTTTTATGATTAAAAATGTATTTTCTGAATTGTTACTGCCTCAAAGGTAATCGTCGAACAGCTAGTGTACGTTCTGTTGGCTACAGTGATTTGTTCGTTTTGAGTAAAAAAGATATGTGGGATGTTTTGAAGGAATACCCTGCAGCAAGAGTTAGACTGGAAGCAATTGCAGTGAAACGACTTGAAAAATACAAGAAAGCTCCACTTGAAAAAGGTAATAAATATTGACGTCTATCATTTTTTTTTTATTATTTTTGAAATATTTTTTTTGATCTTTTTTCGTAAAATATTGAGTTATCTTAAATTGATTTTTTTTGGAAAAAATTATCCATTTAATTAAATATTATAGACTGTGCTAATATGTAAATGTAGATTCTCTTTAATAAACTTGAAATGTAATTTTATTAAGTTGCTATGGGACGCTGCCAATCAACTCCAGGTCTTGTAGAATCTAAAGATCGAACAACAGTAGAGGAAATGTGGATATCTCCTCAGCCCCTTTCATCAATTGCTCCATCTTACATTACTCATCCAACGTAATTGTTTGAATTCAATTAAAATCAATCACACTAATTAATGCATTTTTAATTCTTAGTCCAAGACGTGAAAGCAATATCGATCGTACAAGAATAACCGACTCTCAAGGATCATTGAGTCCATCAGCACACAGTTCAGATGATCGTTCTCGTAGTAGGATAACTTCAACTATTTCACGACCTCATTCAACTAAAAATGGTGAAAAATATATTAAATTTTCAAGATAGTATCTAACAAAAGGATATTGAAAATTGATATTTAGTTAATGTGAAACGGCTTTATCCAGATTTTAAGAAAAAATAATTTTTTGTGATAAATGAAAAAAGTTATCTTAACTAACTTTTCTTAAAGTCTGAAATTTAATGCCATAGAGATAAAAAAAAGTCATTTCACATTTACAAATATCTTATCAGACGTTAAATTACAAATCCTTGTTATTCAGCTGGTTCTTTAAATCATCTTGAGTCTGGCGCTACACCCTTGCTAGGATCTCATGAAGCATTAGAGGGAGAAATTAAAAGGCTAAGAGAGCGTCTCCACACAGTTGAGTCTGAAAATTTTTCACTTAACGCCAAACTAGCACAACAGCAGTGGGAGGTAGAACATCGTTTAGCTGAGATTGAAATGCAGATTTGCGGAGCATCTTCTGGTGGATCGGTTTCAAGCCAGGAGAATGATAATGAAGATACGGAACGCAATCGTGAAAGTATCATATAACACTCTGAAGACGAATGCAAAAATAAGACATTAGGCGTTCAATTAAATTTCAATCTCATAATTGTGTGACTCTTACTGATATAAATAAAACTTTTCATCCCTAAAGGAAAGGTACCAAAGCCATAAATGAAATTGCCAATTCTATTTATTCAAAGTTATGCTTTATATAACTAGATACATTTTTAATGATAGAAAAAAGCTTTATGTTGATTATGTTTATTATTACTGATTTAAAGCAGTAAAGAAACAATCAATGCTCTAAGTTTTATATTCATAATTTTCACTTTCTCAAGTAATAGAATTCAGGTGTTTTTACTGTGTTTATGATTGAAATTAGTTAAAAGTTAAATAAAAATATGAATTTTAAAGTAGCTTAGTTTATTTAAGCAAAAATCTAAGAAATTGAAATTAGAAGCAGAAAGAAGCAATTTTTTTTTAAATCATAAAGTTAGATATTTATATTCAAAAAGATTTGAAGTTGTACAAAACTATACTTATTATCTATTTTTATCTCTAACTACATGGTAAATATTTATAAGTATTAAAAAATCGATGAAAAACAATTTATATCAATATAGGTATATACAATTGGGAAATTCAGAATAGTTCCACTTAATACTTACTTCTTTTTTATATTAAATTTCTGATAACAGGCTTTAAAATAAACATAAAAATTTGGTATTAATTTCAGATTAGAAATCCTTCTTGGAATATTTAGTAAATAAAAGTCGACATTTAATTACAATTAACAAACAATTACGAATGTTTTTGCAAAAATACTTCAATTTTCTTAAGTTTTGAAAATAATAAAAGCCAAAATTATTCATAATAATAAAAGTAGTATTTTTTATCAAGCTTATATGAGAAGAGGAATAATCAATTGTATTTAATTAAAGGCAGAATATTTGACAACAATCGATAGAAACTTAGATAGATATACATAAAGAATTACTTATGGATAAATACAAAAATGATTGCTAATAAATTTCACATTTTCGCCAAAATGTAATTACTTACAATTTCACTCAAACTTATTCTCGTCTATAGCAAATAGTTAAAACATTAAAACATAATCATTTAAGACAATAAAACAAAAATATATTTACATACACGCATCTATTCCTATTTAAGATCAGTGAAAAATTTCAAGCAACATATTAAGTAGAAATATTAGAATTCACGTTTCTTAGAGAAGAAATTTCGGAAAACCTTTGAGAATGACTTTAAACATGCGCTTCTCTCGAGCTTTGAGTGAACTTTCTCGTATTCATTGCATAAATCACGTCGCCCCTTTTTTAATTAATCTTTCGTCCTTTTTTGATTTAAAACATCTTGTGATCTCAAGCCGAATTATTTACTCTGTACTAAATTTAGTTTAAATATGCAAAATTTATTTCCTTTTGCTTATTTGAAAAATAATTAGATAAATAGTAATAATTTTTTGTTGCATTAAAAATAAAATGCTTTTTTTTCAAAATGTGAAGTTTCAAAGCAATTAAAGTATTTACGGAGCTTTATTAGCTTTACTTTTTCTCCCCTTGGTATCCCCCAAATGGTATTTTTCAAATTTCCCCTTGTATCCCTTTTGTTGAGTTTTTTTGTGAAAACATTGAAGCATTTGCTCCAAGTCCTGTTTTCAAGACAAATTTCCATTTGTTTGGTTTAAAATAAAGCTAAATTAGCTATCTGGTGTACTCAGTTGGTGTACGACTTCCTTTAAATTGTATAAAACTTGTCCATTACATTTGAAACATGGAATAAAACATTTATTTTCTACCTAGCAAAAATAGTTGAATCAGCCCTATTTATTCAAAACAAT